ATGGGGGGGGGGGGGGGATTGATACTCCTAGAAATGTCACCTTCCAAAAGGGTCTTCAGATTTCTTATTATAGGAGCGCTTGGCGGTGCAACACTTTTATTGACAATTATGATATCATCAACAGAGCTGCTTTTCCAGATGTCCATCCCCATCAGAGGCAACAGGGCACTGTTCCTCCTCCACAACAGGATCGCTAAGTGTTACTTCCTCCATAAGAGACTCATCCTCAACAGGAGTGGAAGGAATTTGTGCATCCAGTTCCCTTGCCGATAAGTCCCAGTCAGTCGTAGCAGCAGGGTTCTCTGTAGTTCCTTCAGCCGTGGATAAGTTCTCTACCGCCAGCAGAGGAGGCAGACACCAGGCAGTTGAATCACTGTTGAGCATCTCCTGGTTGACGTCCCATCTAGCAGATGGAGGAAAGACAGGAACGGGATTGCCCATTAGCGAATCAGCACTGAACACACAGGGACGAAGAAGATTACAGTGCAGTCTCTTGTGAGGCCCCTCCGGCTCCTGGGACACCTATGATCCAGCTCTTCCTGTTCCCTCTCAATGGCCTCTTGTAGCATAGTAGCAGATTTCACTGCGCCATCGGCCCTCACTCGATCCCTTAGTTCGTCTCAGTATACCGCGAGCTGTAGCTTGCGGTATACTGAGCTTTGGGTGACGGGAGGACGCTAGTTTGTGTCCTCCCGTTACCCTTAGGAGAATTATGGGGAAAAGCCCTAACCCCAAAGTTCTCCTTTAAGCATAACGGCAGAGCTCTATCTTTTACTTGTTAGTGTCTCTTATTTAACTTGAATATAATTTTAGAAAGATATATTTATATACTGAAAGGATATCTAAACCCAAGAACAAAAATTGTATATATTGCAACTTATTAGTTCTTAGTAGGGATGCGCCAGTACGGATACTAGTATCGGTACGGATACCGAGTATCTGGATGAGTGCTCGTACTCGCCCAAATGCTCCAATACCTTCCCCAATACAAGAACTTCTGGTCAGAGGGAGATTTCCTCTGACCGGCAGTGTCGTAAGGGAACATGCAGCCGGCTTCCCGGCCAATCAGGAAGCAACGGGTAATGACTTGCCACCCCGCTTCCTTCCTGATTGGCCAGGAAGCCGACTCCATGCTAGTGGAAGTACTGGTATTGGTACTGGGTATCGGCGAGGACCGAAATATAAATATCAGTACTCGTACTCTATACCGAAAAACTGGTTATGGTGCATCCCTAGTTCTTAGATGTGATGACTGTACTCGTTATCAGGCTAAGAACATTTTCAGAAAGTACAGAATACTTGTTGATTTAGCCAAAATGTTGTGTCCACTCCACTCCCCTATCTAAAAGGAAGACATATTTAAAGTCCAGCCTGGATAACAACCATGGCTCCCTCTATAGATACAATGCAGTGAGTGAGTGTAGCCACCCTAGGACAGGAATTGTATCATTCATAAGCTTACCAGGTAAAATTAGAAGTCTAAAAAATGAAAACAAATGCAGCCACCACATCTAAGGGCTAGTAAGCTGCAATATATAACATTTTTACTTTTCATTTCATTACTTTTCCAGTCACATGCTCCCCAGGGTGCTGCCATTTTAGTATGTATCCTTGCATGGTTTAAGTAGTATTAGGAATGCATTTAATCTGAAGGCTACAAAACCGTATAATAATGATTTTACTACACGGCAACACCCCCTGATTATTGTTTTTATTATTATCATTCCAGCTCTGTGTCTGGTGCTCGCCTGCATGATATTTCCGAATGGGTGGGACGCCGAGGCGATCAGAGACTTATGCGGAGACAAAACTGGGAAATACTCTCTCGGAGACTGCTCCATCCGCTGGGCCTACATACTGGCCATCATCGGCATTTTAAATGCCCTCATCCTCTCCTTCCTGGCCTTTGTGCTGGGCAACAGACAGAATGACTTGCTACTCGAAGAGCTTAAGGCAGATAACAAAGGTAAAAGGGCTATAAATCTGCTGGGTGGTGACAAATGACAGCCGTGCATGGGGCACATGTATGAACTGGCTTTTCTGCTGACATGAGGTGGAGATAGAGTTGTCACCTTTTCTTCAAGCGAAACCCGAACACTCTAGAGATGCGCAGACAATTTTTGGGGAAAATTAGTCGTGGCTTATTCATATCTAAATAGTGCCACCCACTCATATGCAAATATTACAGGTGAGACTATTTTCAGTGGGGGGCCAGTAGCCCCTATCTTAATTTTGGTTGCCCCTGTCTGCCTGACATCTTGTGTCCGGGTTTCTGCTGCCATGAAACCCGAACTGTTCGGGTGAATCCTGGACAGGTGGCAACCCTAGGTGGAGACAACAGTTCCTGCATTTACCCCATACACAGGTCATGGGGGGTAATAGAGATCAGAGAACCAAGCCACATGGAGCAGGAGTTTGGCCAATCACAGCCATTCATGAACTGCAAAATATGCAAAAAAATTGGCCCCTGTTGTGGACTTATTTCCAAACATAGAAAAAATTTCAAAATACAGGGAAACCATCAATTGTTTTTTATGCAATATAGGTACACATAAAAGTAGTGTTAAAGTATATTAGTTACGTAAATATTTTTTTTAAAAATGTTTAAATAATATAAACAATATCAATGCCAAAGATAACCTTTAAAGTATATAAATGGATATAAATATTAAAAAAGTATAATATATATAAAAGATGTAACAATAAAAAAATTATACACACACACACTATATAATAACGTCTACTATATAAAGGATGTAACAATAGAAAAATTTAAGTATGTAAAGGATGTAAAAATAAAACATTTTTTGAAGTAGATAAAACGTCAAAATAAATAATAATGTTCAAAATATGGAAAGGATGTTAATATAAAAATAATGTTTAAAGGATATAAATACAAAAAAGAATCCTACAAGTATGTAGGGGATGTAAATATAAAAAAATTGGAGTTACGTACCTGGTAACTCTGTTTCTAGGAACCTTCCAGGACAGCATTAGAGAGATAGGCTCCTCCCACCGGAAACAGGAAACACATCACCCACACCTAGAATAAAAAGAGTACCAGCCTAGTACACTTCAGTTAAAACATAAGAACCGAAGGATACCACATCACTAACTCCGTTTAATGGAAGATGTACACATACAGAATTTATACATATGTATATATGTACTTCAATCTCACAAAGTAGGGCATCTCGCAGCAAGCCACAGTCCGAGCGTTAACTGAGGCTTGGAGACGCCGGGTCATATGACCCTCGCACCCGGAAGTGACGTCAGACGCCCGCGCCCTGCGGGGAGCGTCACTTCCGCCCTTACAGCTCGTCTCCTTCCTCCCCCTGTCTCCACGAGGGCCGCCGCACTGCACGCCTTCAGCGGCCGACCGACGCCACACAGAGACCAGGGGATGCCGCTGTGGCCACCACCGAATGACAACCTTGTCCTCCATTCAGCAGGATCAGGTAGGAGCACCACACACAGCACTTGAAGCAGGGGTTTAAGGACTAGGGGAACTCCTCTGAGTCCACTACACCAACAGGCTGGTTGCACTGCACACTCTTATGCCGGGAAACCATAGGCAATTTCTTTTGGACAGTTGGGGCTGTCCCGGAAGCCCCCCTCCATAGGTACCCCAGGTCCACTGACCCTCTGCTGTACCATGTTGGGGTGAAGCCCCTGCTCGCTAGCACGTAGGCCTAGGAAAAAAATAACAAACGTTACGATGTCCTGCTCGGCCGGAGGAAACACAAAATAACTGAAGTGTGCTAGGCTGGTACTCTTTTTATTCTAGGTGTGGGTGATGTGTTTCCTGTTTCCGGTGGGAGGAGCCTATCTCTCTAATGCTGTCCTGGAAGGTGACTAGAGAAAAAATGTTTGAAGTATATAAAGGACAGAAGTTAAACAAAATATTTTAAGTATGTAAAGGATGTTAAACTAAAACCTATTTTTGAAGTATAGAAAAAGATGTGAATATAAATAATAATAATTTTCAAAGTATGTAAAGGATGTTAATATAAAAATGATGTTTAATGTACACAAAGAATTTAAATATAAAACATTGTATTTTTAAGTTTTTTGAGAATGTTAAAGAAAAATGTATGCTTATAGCAGATGAAGATGTAAATATATAAATCATGTCAACTTATAAAAAAATGTTGAAAAAAATACACTGCTCGGCCAAAAAAAAAGGTCTCCACCTGGATTTCAGAAAGTGTTATGATCTGGAGTTGCTTCACTTGGTCAGGTCTAGGTTCAGCAATGTTGTGCCCCCCTCAAAAATGGGGCCAGCTGTCTACCTGAATATACTGAATGAACGTGTTTTTCCATCAATGAATTTTTTTCTTCCCCGATGGCACATTAGGCATATTCCAGGATGACAATGCCAGGATTCATCGGGCTCACATTGTGAATGAGTGGTTCAGGGAGCATGAGACATCATTGTCACACATGGATTGGCCACCACAGAGTCCAGACCTGAACCCCATTGAGAATCTTTGGGATGTGCCAGAGAAGACTTTACACAGTGCTCCGACTCTCCCAACATCACTACAAGATCTTGGTGAAAAAATAATGAAACTCTGGATGGAAATAAATGTTCTGAAATTACATAAGGTTATCGAAACGATGCCACAGCGAATGTGTGCCGTAATTAAAGCCAGAGGAGGTCCAATGAAATATCAGAATGTGTGACTTTTGTTTTGGCCGGGCAGTGTCTGAAGGCTGTAACTATAAAAAAAAAAGTATAAAAAATAAATATAAAATAAGATCCCATATCGGGTTCAGCAATATACCCCAAAGTCCGCACAGAGATGTAAATTCTAGAAACATATAAAATATTAATTCTCGAATCATGTCATTATTAGAAGTTTGTATCTGGAATGACAACTGGACTTAGAGTGACACCTTGTGGTCAAGCATAGGCTGAGCACCGGTTTGCACTGGAGCCTGTCCAATAAATAAGCATCAATTCAGACTGTGCAAAGTGTTTTTTAATTCTTGTTAAGGATTTGAAGATTCTGTTATGGCCCTTATTAGGGATGTTCAGATACCGGTGCCGATACATGGCATTTTCATGAGAACTACCAGGGTTGCAGCAGTTGCAGCTGGGACCTGGCTCTGGCGCTCCACCAATGTCCTGAAATCATTAGTCTGTATTGTTTTAGAAAAACTGTCACATGACAATAAACAAAAATGTATCAGTACTTGTATCTGTGAGTACTTGGCCAAGTACCAGTACTTGTACTTGAAAAAATGGTATTGGTGCATCACTTATATATATTTATAAAAACAAAAATCATACATTAAAACCGCAATGCACAAATCCCAGGAGTCCGTGTGCTTCTTACAAATGGCAGCTGCCTCCTAACTTTTGAATGTTTCTGTAATCTAGTCTTGGAGCTGGAAAAGTATCTGTACTCGTCTTGTACTTGTACCGAGTACGTACTGGGTACCTGAACATCCCTAGCCCTTATATATCTAAAGACATAACTGTCTCAGACATCTCGTATTTTCCAGAAATGCCTAATAATGGGTAGATGCCAAGGACAGCACAGGCCTTCCCCAGTTACCATCCACCCAATATAGCATATCTCTTTAAGGTGGACTGAAGTCACAAAATGGCATAGTAACCCATTGTAACTACAAATGTTGTGTTCTTTCCACAGATGATATTAAATAGACGAAATTCAAAGGGGGACACGGGATACCTTCACCAACGCAGGAATGTCTTCAGGCTGTCAGCCATCTTACCCCATTGGTATTGTTGCCCTATGATTCTTGTATTGCTGCCCTCTGCCACACTGCCTTGAACCCCTCTCCACCTCCTCCTGCCACCGATGAAGCCTGGTTCTGCATCTCAGCCTTGAAGAGAGCTTTTCTTCCACCAAAACGGTGCCTGCTTCGCCAAACCAAGACCCCCAATGCCCCCCTCTGCAACGGAAGAACCAGCAACAGCACACCCATTCCCTACACCCAACACGCCAACGTGGATGTACACAACCATCACTTGTAATGATGCTATCAGTTGAGACTTTTTACCCCGCCATCTTTCTACTTGCCATCGCTGTAAAGAAAACAAAAATATTACACAAGGGTGCTGCAAATGAGCCCTTTATGAATTATGTTCCAATTTTATAATAAAGAAAAATCAAAGCATTTCTACTTATGAAAACGACTCTCCGTAGAGGTATTTCCCCCAACTTGCCCGAAATAAAAAACAAAAAGAGATAATTTTTTCATTTCGATAAATCGCAGAACTTTGTACATAGATGTACATTACGGACAAAGCCTTACAGGCTGTTCTTTGGCTAAACTGTGCGCGGGCCTGATTTCAGCAAATGCCTTTTGTACAGTGCCAGGAAAACTATTTATTTCTTATTTTTACATTGGCATTGCTTGTAAAAAAACAAAAAAACTTTTTCGCAACAGGGTAAAAATAAGCAATTTTGACGTGTTCTTGAAGGACTCAGAAGAAGCTGAGTGCATTGTCTTGTTGTCCGTGGGGGAAAAGCTTTGGGGAACGGACGGTCGAGAGCGGCGGATGGAAGAGGCAGCGGGAAGAATTTTGGTGTCCTTTCCCAAAAAAAAAAAAGATCCTTTATTTCGGCCTTATCGTCAGAGCTTTATGAATGATTCTAAAGATCAGCCCAACCGGCTACTTATAAATCTAAAATATTGACAGAGTTTATATAAAATGTATATAAATTGCCATATGAAAGGGATGGGGGGGTAATCTATAGAAGTTGTGGAAGGGAATTCTTTTGTGATGTGTTTCCATCACCGTTTTTTTTATTTTTGGCAACATAAATTGTTATCCAAAATTTCCACCATTGTTTTTTTTTACACTGTTTTTACATTTTGGTCATTTGCCGTATTTCACACTCCCGGGACTTGAAAGAACAAAAATATATACAGTAACTATTGTTGCTCTTGCACTCAATCCTCCTCCCCCGACCACCAACAATAGTGTCAGGCTCAATGCAATATTGTATAAGTTTGGAGAATATGATGGTGTACTGGAACCCTGTGGCATCGGCGTTACAAATAACATCAGGCAGCTACTGATATATAAAAAAGTGGAACGCCATGCAAATATTCAAAAATATCCTTTGGGGTAAATTATTATTATTACAAATATTATATAGCGCCAACAGTTTGTGCAGCGCTTTACAATATAAGGAAGACATTACAATCACAATACAATTGCAGACAAGATGGTAAGGAGGGCCCTGCCCCTGAGGGCTTACAATCTAAAAGGGAGGGGTAAGTGATACATGAGGAGGTAGCTGTGTGGGGATGAATTATTTGAGAATGTGATGGTTCAGTGGTTAGGTTGAGGTGGGATCCAGGCAGATATAAAAGATACAATTAATGCAGCTATTATTACATCTTTAATTGTATTTATAATGCCAGCAATGTATGTACCTGAATTTGACCTTTTATCCGCTCATTGCAAACCACTGTACAACAGAGCTAAGATTGGAAGAGAAAGAAGCAGCACACGAAGCCAATGAGTTGTGCTGCATTTCTCACAAGCTCACAACAAACATGCTGGTAAGAGGAGAGAGCAGAGCGACAGAACAAAGAGCTTATCAGTCTGCAGTCTCTCCTGTCACTACCCATTCACAAGCTAGGGAAGGGATAAGACCTGGAAGTGTTACTTAACTGTCCTGCCAGTTAGGGCTTTGCTTAGTGGCAGAGCTGTGTAAATCTCTAAGCTTGATGTACAGAAATACAAAACTTTTGGTAGGTAAAACAGCTCACATGTATGTATTTCATATGTGTATTTAGTTGTTTGCAAAAGGGACAAACTATTTGGCGGATTTATAAAAGGTTTGCCCAGCGTATAGCTAGGTGAATGCCATTCACTCAGCATTACTGCCACTAGATGGAGCCAAGAGCTGATTTATAAAAGGTTTGCCCAGCGTATAGCTAGGTGAATGCCATTCACTCAGCATTACTGCCACTAGATGGAGCCAAGAGCTGATTTATAAAAGGTTTGCCCAGCGTATAGCTAGGTGAATGCCATTCGTTCAGCATTACTGCCACCAGATGGAGCCAAGATCTGATTTGTAAAGGGTTCTACCAGTGTATACCTAGGTGAACGCTGTTCTCATGACATTCCTGCTGCTAGATAGGAATTTCCTATGCTTCTCAGCTCAACCTAGCGGCAGTAATGCATTGCAAATGGCATTCACCAGCGATATGCTGGGCAAACCCTTTATAAATCAGCCCTGATGTCTCTTCTGCAGTAAATGATTCTTACCTTTCCCCTCGAAAACTCTTTAAAGTGTACACTGAGCTCCGTATGTACGGCTCATTGTGCAATCCCAGCATATTCCGGGCGCCAGGATGAAATAAATCCCATGCACATGAGCGGGAGTTAGGTCATCCCAGATAAAGATCTCGAACATGGAAGAAGTTGTTAGGATGATGTTGGCGAGGGAGTTCACGGAGGTCTTTAAGATCCTGAGGTTATCATTTTTGCCTGGAGTTCTAATTTAACAGACAATAATATAAAGAGAAATAGTTGCCCGAGCCCTCACGTTCCCAGAAATCACAGGAGAATCCGAGAAGGTTCCATCTAGAGTGAGCAAACATCACTGAAGTTTTTGGGGTATCCTCCGAGGGAGTCGGCCGCCTTGTACAAACGTAAAGCTGTATTTATGAATGACTTCTAGGATGTATGGGGGTGTTGGAGGAGAGTGGCTCCTCCTTTTCAAATTGATTGCTTTTCTTGCCTAATAAAATAAATAAGTCCAAGGAGACTATAGGACGTGTCGCTTGGTGTGTAATCCTCCACCGGTCCTCAGAGACCTTCATAACATTTTTCATTTTTACAAAAACATGACAGATGAAAAACAAAAATAAAGACGTGGAAACTGGAGAGAGAAGACAATAAAGCTGCACATTGTCATAGGAGAGTGTTATTACTATAAGCTCAATTCATTTAGATTTTAGTAGGAAGCAAATTTTGCCAAAGCAGCTCAATGAGCGAAACCGAGAAATTCTGCTTGGGCAAAATTTTGCCAAAATCATTCTGCTCAATCCTGAGTTTCAACCATCAGCAGACGTCTCCTATATAAGTTATCTGTTGAAAAATGTGTAAAATTTACCATGGCATGGCGTTTTCACTAGGGATGCACCGATACCGGTAGTTCGGTATCGAGTACCGATATTATTTTTTTTCGGTATTTGCCGATACCGTATACCAATACCAGATGTCCCATTAAGGAAGTCAGGCGGCGTGTAATTACTCGCCACCCGGCTTCCCGATTAGCAGGGAAGCCGCCCCGGTGGTGACGAGACAGCATGGAGCTGGCTTTCTGGCCAATCAGGAAGCTGGACGCCGTGTAATGATGCAGCGCTCGGCTTCCTGATTGGCCGGGAAGCCGACTCCATGCTCCCTCGTCATGAGGTGACAAGGGAGCATGAAACCAAGTTCCCGGTCAATCAGAAAGCTGGGCACCGCGTCATTACACAGCGTCTAAAACAGCAAAAAGTTTCTAGGCACACTCACCAGCTAGCATGCAAAAAAAACACTAAGGTTAAAAGCAGAGGTTTAGATACACGTCTTCTGCACAGCGCCTGGCTTCCTGATTGGCCAGCTTCCCGGCCAATCGGGAAGCCTGGCAGCGTGTAATGACTCGCTGTCCGGCTTCCTGATACCGGAAGTAACGGGCAAGGCATCGGAGCATTTGGGCAAGTACGAGTACTTGCCTAAATACTCGGCACCAATACCGATACTAGTATCGGTATATCCCTAGTTTTCACAGTCCAGTTCTCCTATTTTGTACCTGGCAGCTGCCTATCAGAAGAGACAGCCAATCACAGACTGATTATAAGATGAGTGCTGACAGCTACAACATGGAACAATGAAAGTGACTCTAAACTCCAGAGTTAAACCTTAAAAATACATTCAAGTACCTGAACTATTAACAAAAATGTATATTATTTGTGTATCACTCAGCTGTAGATCCTCAAATCATCTCTGAATTGGTGCTGACACCGTCCTATCTTCTGGAGGGGGTCTACTTTTGTTCCCCATGGTTCCTGTGTGTGTAAAGTAGTCACCTCTCCAAGCTCGCTCTAGCGATGGACTACAATCTCACTTTTAGTTTACTAATTTGTACTGAGATTGTAGTCCATCACAGGAGTGAGCTTGGAGAGGTGACTACTTTACAACACACGCAGGGACCATGGGGGACAAAAGTACCCAGATAGCAAGGATAACTTGCCACAAATTTGTGGCAGGGTTAAAGTGTAATTCTTGTTAACTTGCTGCACACATTCCTGGCAAGTTGTAGACTTGCAGGACACTTGCAGCACAAGCTCTAGGTGACACTTTTTGAATTTGTAGCAAATTTGCTTGGCAAGTCTACAGCAAGAGCTCTGCAGGTGTACAGCACTTTTGCAAAGCGCGTTGATCTGGAGACTTGCAATGCAGACTCGCTGTAATTGTGCAACAAAACTGTGAAGCTTGGAAAGTCCAGCAATAGTTAAGCAAGTCATTTTCAAACTTGCAGCTCAATTGCTTGCTATCTGGGTAGCCCCCCTCCAGATGTCGCCGAGATCACTTGTATGCAGCCTGCAGGTCTGCTATTCTCCATGGGGGCGGTGTGGCGGATAGGGGGGCGCATTGAGGAACCTGTATCCGGCTGTATAGATTTGAGAAGAAAACATATCCAACAGGACCCCTTCTGAATCTCAGAAGGGAAAAGTTTGAAGCCCGTTTGTAAAATGACATCAGCATATTAGAGGCTGATGCTGATCTCTCTAATATACTGACTTCTACACTGCTAAGACGTTGAGGTTTCAAGTATGCATTGTAATGGGGGGGGGGGGTTGAGTATGCATCGCCCAGGCACTCACATCTGGTTTCCCCAATAAATAGTTGGATTCAAAACCTATACAATAAAAAAAAACAAAAACAATACAAACACTGAGCAAAACACGACATTTTATCTTGATTTTTTTTCCAACATGTGTAACATAAAAAGTGAAAATAATATATACATACATATACATACAATAATATGTACAATAAAGTAAAACGATGATTGACACTTTTTTTTTTCCTTCTCCGAAGCAGATTTTATTCGTTAAAGATTCTAATTTGCTTTAGGGCTTGTTCACACGATTGTCTGGTCCAGATCTGGAGACGCGGTGCTATGCATGCAGTGCGTT